TTTTTTTTTTTTGTTAACCCAAATTGAAGGTGTGGAATCTCATTGTTGGATATTTTAACTTTTTGTGCAGCCATCGACACAACAGCTTTCTCGGGGAGAAAGCGGAGGATTTTTTTTTTACCTACGAGCGACCTGAGCATTCCATTGCCGGTTTTTGCTGTTGTATGAGTGCAGCACGACAATGACCTCTTTGAATTGTCGAAATTTTTGCCAAAATCGATAGAATCATGGGAAAATTTAGCACTGCTTTTTTTCTAGCATAACATCGCTTTTTTGCTTCTGCAGCGGCTTTGTGTAACACGCTGACTATGTTGCAATATACACCAAATTATCAGTTGAGACTATTGTATTGTAGATCCGAGCATATATTGGCAGCACTCGGCCTAGTGCTAGCTGAGAAATTGTATTTCGCAAAAATGGTGGATGATTTCCGAAGTACTGTACTGAAACTCAAGCAGCTTCACGGAGATCTCTCGTATCATGCGATGATTGCCGTTTGTTTTTTTTTTTTTCCACCTGATTTTCTATGGAAACGCACCGGCGTATTCAGGAAGAGCCTTGGGAGAAGGAGATGATTGCGGCAGTTTGTTTTCTTTTGCCTTGGCGAAACTTTTTGAATTATTCATGCGGGGGGGAGGGGGGGGAGGGGTAGGGAATGCGTAGCTAAGGGACGTGAAATTCATTTAGGACATAAAATTTAGCTCAAAAAGGGTGCGAAATCCTTAACTGATGAATAAATAGGGCGGAACCGGAGGGGGGGGGGCGTTTGGTCTTTCGGGACAGGTAGCACTGTTAAAACTAGAAAACTCTCTTCCACATCTCCGGTCATCCCCCTCTCCTCCCCCCCGCCTCTCTGCCCCTCTATCCCAACAGCCTCACTCCATTTTTCCCCGCCCCTCCTTTCCCCTCGTCCGCCCCTTCCAAGGGGGTCTCCTGGATCCCCTCCTGTCTGAACAAAATTGCGTGTTTTTCTTTCAGTACGATTCTTCGGATGGATCAGATGAACGGATGGCTTTTTTGGATGAAGTGACAAGGTTGCTGAATTTCCCAGCGAATATCAAGCAGCAGCTTGTGCACAAAACAAGAGTGAAAGCATTTCATAAATCAGTTGAGGTGTAAGTGTTGTTTATTCAACAAGGCAATTTTTCAATCGATGTTGATTTCGCAACAAATTTGGGCCCTATAATCGTTTTACGAGTAATTTCTGGTTTCTTTTTTCAGTAAAAAAAATCTAGTTTTTTTCCACGACAGGCGTTTTTCTGAGAAATGGCTTAAATTCCCTGAATTGCGTTTTGGAAATTAGCATAATATATGTTTTGGGTGAATGAACGAAATCTTCTGGCTTGTATCTCCTGGTTCATCTCAGCAGAAATGTACAGATTCAACTCCACACTGCGTCTTAATTTGCAGTTGTGATTTGAATAAAGCGCTGGATCAATTGAAAAAGATAAGTGCGCAGACAGAATCTGTATATGGACAACTGGATTTGATGAGTGCCGCAATAAAGCAGGACAACACCGCCGTCATATCTGAAGGTACGTTTTTGCTATGCATTTCTTTACGGT